ACTTTGTTTTTTATATTCTTCTAAACAACGGCTGCCCAAATAAACAACTATATACTTATTAAGCGGAATTGACCGTTATACACCTGCAGTTAACTGTTTGCTTCTAGAATTTCTTCCGGGCATTAGAAAGTCTATCGCCATTGTGACATTGTGAAAGGTTGCCCTCCTTTTGAGTCCCAGTTTGGCAGGCATAAACTGTTATAAATAGACGGTTAAAAATCCCTCTTAAGCTGAATAATGCCGCCGCGTTGCTGGTAAAAACCGTGAATGTTTCACGTACACAAAGCAAGCGCACCTTTTCAAGCCACAAGTCGAGTAGCTAGTAATGAATGCCTCTGCTTCGACAACCCCACATAAAGCTCAATATAACTTTTATTCTCTATCTCTCTATTTTTCTCTTTATACACACACACACACACATATATTTATATATATATATATATATATATATATATATGGGAGCCGGACGTTTTCACAAAAGACAGTTACCCGAATGCTGTTATCATGAATGGGCAATTGTCCGAATGCGACAAATATATGCGTAGGTGTTTGTACGTAAGTATGTGTGTGTGTGTTTGTATTTGTTTATGTTTTTTAATTGGTGCGTGTGTGAAAGTGTGTGCGTGGTGTGTGTTTATGTGTCTGTGTGTGCATGCGTGTGCGTATATGAGTGTGCGTGTGAGATAGGTTATATATCCCCCCTTTCTGAATTGGACAAGCTTTATGTATTATTGCGGAACTTCGTCACACGATTGCCCTGACATCGCTAAAATTTGCTTCGATATAAGAGTAAAATTTGAGATGCCACAGTTCAGTTTGTGAACAACCTCTTCTTCGTCATACCAGCATATACCTTTATAAATGTTACACCAAACTCTATTAATTTTTTTTTTACTTTTTAAGTGCGTGATTTGTAATATAATAAAAGCCTTTTTCCATAAAAATTTGATTTTACATGTGAGTTTTATTTCATACAACTAGACACCAGCCAAGGGTGGTTACTTTCTTTGCTTACACATTTTACTCTGCCATCTTTACACTCAGTTGCTAAAAGTACGATTCACAGTTATACATATCGCATGAGGCTTTATTTGTATGGACTCAGGATCGCTTGCATGATGGATGCTATCTAAGACATAATTATTTGTATTTCCTTGTTAGCAATATTCCAGATATTTTACAGACCAAACAAAAAATAGTACTCCAGGTACTTTTATATTGCACTTTTCAAAAATATTTGGGCAAGCTGCTAAGTTCCTGGAAATACCATTCCACGTATTGATATGCAAATGAATTAAAGTACAAACATTTTATTTGTTAAATTATTCAAAACAGTGGGTGATGGGTTAATACAGAGTTAGAAAACACAATCAAACTATGAAACATTTTAATAAAACGATTTATTCAAAAAATAATATAAACATGATAATATTGATTAATTGTCGGTGTCTATCAAAATTGTCTACAAAATATAATAAATATTTTAAATAATATTTTGTGCATTTGAAATCTATATATATAATTCTCTTCATGGGGACCATACAAGACACCACGCAGCTTAGCCGTTCCTACCCGCTTTCTAGGCATATCGCTACTACCCCCACCCCCACCTTTCATGTGAGCTGTGGTTCACCCCGAATGTTTACAATAGAATTGACGGCTATTAGGGGCAGATAAATCAGTGTTTAAACAATTTGAAACTAAGGGGGGGGGGGGGGTAATTTTAAGTTATGATTAATCTTTTCATTGTCGTCTGTAAACTATCGTCACGGACGGCTGCTTTCACGAGGGGCGGGGAAGGGAGGGGGAGGATAATCGTCCTTAACGAGCTACTGATAGTGTTTAAAGCAAAATATTTTCAGTCGCAGAATTGGTAGTGTTGAATTTTTAAAAAAATTAATTACTGAAAAATAGATTCTATATATATATAATTCTCTTCATTGCGAGACACCAAGACGTAAGCTCAATAGACTTATATAACTACGACCCCCACCCCCACCAGTCTGGTGAGCTGTTTACAATCGTTGTGACGGCTATTAGGGGCAGATAATTTAGTTTTTAAACGATTTGAAATTAAGTGGAGATAATATGTCCTGCTTGCTTTTTTCATTGTCGCCTGTAAACTGTCGAAACATGCGGCTGCTTTCACGGAGGCGGAGTGGGAGGGGGGCGGGTAAAAGGAGTGGAAAGTGAGGGTGAGGATAATCGTCATTCACTAGCTACTGATAGTGTTTTAAGGCAAAATATTTTCAGTCGCAGCATTGGTAGTGTCGAATTCACAAATTATGAATTACACTGAAAAATAGGAATTAGACTAAATAGCTGCGTATGTGCGAATTCACAAATTATGAATTACACTGAAAAATAGGAATTAGACTAAATAGCTGCGTATGCTACGTCGCGGGTCAGCTCATGGTAATATAAAAATATTGAACCACAGTTTTTGCAACATTATTTTCTAACCATGACTTCATCAATCATATTGGGAATTTAGTTGTTAATAAGATGTATTTAAGCTCGCAACTATTTTTTTTAGCTTCTGCATGACAAACAATAATACCTGCTTTCGTTCGCTATGGCTTTGGTCTCATGTTTAAATCTATCAAACTACACTGTTTATCCTCATGCCATTTGGAATATACATTTTAAAGACACCCACTAATTCGTTATGATGGGTTTTTGGTTTAGGATCTAAATGAGTGCAGTGCTGGATCTTATTTAGCTTTCACCGATCAACAAAAAAATTAATTAATGTAATTACATATATATATATATATATATATATATATATATATATATATATATATATATATATATATATATATATATATATATATGGACGGACTGAAAGTTAAAAGAGCAACAGCTTTATTTGTAAATAAGTTACTTTCTCGTAATTAGTTTCAATACTGCCTTTAGGATCTTCGAGATAAACTAAAATCTACCTAGTGTCTAAATCGAATAGCAGCTTAGCACGTGATATAGCTAATACAATATATCGGTAGTGAGATATCCTGCATTTTCTCGTATATTCTTATGTAACAGTAAGGGTGGGGATGGCATTTCCAGTAGATTCAAGCGATAGACATGGTAACTTTGTGACAAAGCCGCATCTTTTTTGATAAAGCAAAACTAGTCAAATTAGCAAATGCTGCCTTATGAGAAATTGGGGCTCTCGGTCAAAAACCCCCCGCGACATAAACCCCCTGGACAAAAACCCCCGCGACATAAACTCCCCGGATAATAACCCCCGGACTGAGGTTTATATAAAGAAATAATAACGATGATGTGAACCAAAAAATAAAAAATAAAAATTACATTAAATTAATTTCATTTTTTACGACTAAGAAAATAGTTTCTACCTAAAAAAAATGCTATTTGAAATTTAGGAAAGACCTTAGGTTTATTTGATCAAAGATCGGGCACCGACAACACCTTAGATATAGGTCATCCACATGTGGAAGCCATGCGAATCAAAGCAACGCATGTTTAACAATACAAAAGATGTGAGAGATTTACCGGCGGAAGCTTGGTTCATATCCACCGTGATACACAGAATCATGGTATAAATACGACTTCAAATTTATTTTTCCACAAATCGTATAATTTCTGGAATGGAGTTCGTTCAATCCAATAAAGGCAATGTAAAGGTGATTTTTGAAGGCTATGTTTATGTGAAGCAAAAAGATCTGGCGAACGGCGTTGTGTCATTTGAGTGTGCCAAAAGACGCAATAAGACAGAATGCAAAGTTCAGATAAAGATTCATTGTGAACAGCTTGTTGGACGTTGTAATTCACATTCGCATGGACCAGATCCATCTCAACTTGAGTATTTGCGAGGCATCGCTCACGATCTGTCTTTTTAAAGTTATAATAAAAATAAAACAGTTTTATATATTGATTTTGGTTCTCATCATCTTTGGTTTTTCCTTATATAAACCACAATTGGGGGGTTTTTGTCCAGGGGGTTTATGTCGCGGGTTTTTTTTGTCCAGTAAGTTTATGTCGCGGGGTGTTTGTCCAGGGAGTTTTTGTCCAGGGGGGTTTTGGCCGGCACCAGAAATTATATAAAATAATCAAATTCGTAATGTTTTTGAGAAATCGGAAATAGAATAAGAACCATTTCTATTTACCTAAAAAAGGCTCAAAAGTTGAAAGAAATCCACAAATGAGATATGATAATCATATATTAAATTGCGCACACCTAACTGAAACGGTACGCAAGTTATCGTATTTACATGGAAGTATAGCGCAACCTCGCTTAAACCTTTTTAAAAAAAAAAAACGTTTACTCTTACAGCCTTAGACCTATAAATGAAATTTCGTCCACATAAATGTTAAAGTGCTTAATTAAGTTATTGGTAGCTTAGAACCAGAAATAGATTAAAGTACCAGTTCCGGGTATAAGTGTGTCTATTTAATTAAAACGGTTCACGAGTTATCGTGTTCACATTGCCGTAAAGTGAAGCACCACTTCCTTTTACCTGAAATTATTTAAAGGTTTATAAAATCTTGAGTGTACAATACAATAATTCAATTTGAAGCTTCGACAACGGTGGGTTTTTTTTTTGAGAAGCAAAACCGGAAGCAAAGTAAGTACAGCTTCCAGTTACCGGAAATCGCTTACACGTTGAGAGCAACTTACTTCTAAGATCTATACTTATATATAAATTTAGTCTACCTAACTAACATGGTACTCAATTGTGATGAAACACAGAGAGAGAGAGAGAGAGAGAGAGAGAGAGAGAGAGAGAGACATGCAGACAAGTCAAAATTTGTAAAAATCTCGATTTTCGATTATATACGAGGAAGTAAAAAGTGTCTACTAATTTACTGTAATAAAAAATGTATCTTGTTTATAGAAATAAAGTAAAAGAGCTAATGTTTTTCTTCTATTTAAGACAAATAAACGCATACTGTGTTTAATAGATAATTAACTACACGCGAAAAGCACAAAGGCAATAATTCTAAATTAGTATAATATTTATCTCTAGAATAATTTACTTATAATCACTTATTAGGAAAGCCATAAGAGTAGCTATAACAATCAATATTTCCTTTACTTTCAGCATGTTGGCAGCACCTGCAATGTAAATGTTAAATCACTTTAAGATCAGAGCTTGAATAGAGCCAACCGGTCACATTGTTTATTTAATGCGTATCAAATGTGTTGCTATAAAGTAAAATGAATTAAATGCATGTTGATAAAATTTATTAATGAGAGGTGAACTTATTTTTGTTTTAAAATGTTTTACTAGTGACATGTCTTAAACATTGTCTCCGTTGTAAGGAAAACAAAAAATGTTTATGTGTTTTAAAAAATCGTAAAATCTACACACCACATAGGTCTCTAGCTCCAGCAATGGCCGTCTTCAGACCCTGTGTGTCATCACATTTGTTCTTGAGGCACGTAAAAAGCGACTCGGATGCACTGAGGTTAAAAGGTTATAATATTCCATAGGTAAAAAAAACTATGCTCATAGAGATCAAAGAATAAGCCGTAGAAGTTTAGTTATTTACTACAGATGTAATGCGTCATTCCTTGTCATCCAAAAAACAAAAGATGTCATCACGAAGGTGTATGTGTATGTGTATGTGTATGTGTATGTGTATGTGTATGTGTATGTGTATGTGTATGTGTATGTGTATGTGTATGTGTATGTGTATGTGTATGTGTATGTGTATGTGTATGTGTATGTGTATGTGTATGTGTATGTGTATGTGTATGTGTATGTGTATGTGTATGTGTATGTGTATGTGTATGTGTATGTGTATGTGTATGTGTATGTGTATGTGTATGTGTATGTGTATGTGTATGTGTATGTGTATGTGTATGTGTATGTGTATGTGTATGTGTATGTGTATGTGTATGTGTATGTGTATGTGTATGTGTATGTGTATGTGTATGTGTATGTGTATGTGTATGTGTATGTGTATGTGTATGTGTATGTGTATGTGTATGTGTATGTGTATGTGTATGTGTATGTGTATGTGTATGTGTATGTGTATGTGTATGTGTATGTGTATGTGTATGTGTATGTGTATGTGTATGTGTATGTGTATGTGTATGTGTATGTGTATGTGTATGTGTATGTGTATGTGTATGTGTATGTGTATGTGTATGTGTACGAGTACGTGTACGTGTACGTGTACGTGTACGTGTACGTGTACGTGTACGTGTACGTGTACGTGTACGTGTACGTGTACGTGTACGTGTACGTGTACGTGTACGTGTACGTGTAGGTGCAGGTGCAGGTGCAGGTGCGAACGTGCGTGCGAGCGTGTGTGTGTCAATAAAATGTGTTGAACTATTTGCAGAATACTAATTAACTGTATATTAAAATGTTAATGAGTGTATTTGAGCTGATGTTACAAAATCTAAAATAGCTATTATTAAAAAAATCTAGGAGGATAAAAATGACATGTAACTCACTTGCAGGCTACATCTTTGGTGGTAGCAAGCTTTATATTTCCAAAGTCAGCCTCACAGTCAGAATTAGGATCTATAAGTGTGCAGGCAGGCATGACAGATCCAATTACGTTGGCGATGATTATCTTTACGGGATCTGTGATAGATAATTTAACCTCGATAAGTTGACACGTGACATAAAAAACGAATATTACGTTAGGCCTCTCTCGACTATATGTCATTATAGTTCGATGGAATGCTGCGTATTACTTTTGTTACTAACATCTGTTGCAGAAGCTGTCAAGAAAAGACCAGTTGGTAGTCTTAAACCACTTGGTAGTCTTATCTACAAGACCGGTTGCGAGCTCGTGGGTCCGAACTCAAGAACATTGGAGTTACCATTTATGCGCTCTTCCAACCGAACACGCCGTCCTTCATAACAATGAGTTCATTTAGACTGTTGGTTTTATTTAAAATAGATTATACAGTATAATAGGTAATACTGTTCAAATATGTAAATGCGTATGTGTACGTTTGTGTGTTTATACTTTTTAGAGCATAGCTGTTTAAATGTAAATTGGAGTACGTGTACTTACCTTGAGTAGTTGTGGTTACAGTCGTAGTTGTTGGTTTCGTTGTAGTTGGGGAGGTCGTTGTAGGTTTAATTGTGGTTGGTGCCGTAGTTGTAAGTTTCGTTGTAGTCGGTTCAGTTGTAGTTGGTAGCGTTGTAGTTGGTTCAGTTGTAGTTGGTGGCGTTGTAGTTGGTTCAGTTGTAGTTGGTAGCGTTGTAGTTGATGGCGTTGCGGTTAGTTCCGTTGTGGTGGGGGTTTCGGCTGTTGTTGATTCAACTTTGAATCCATAATTTAAAAGTATAAATAAAACCATTAAATATTCATTTTTATAAAGTTATGGCATAACAGAAGCTTAAAATGGACTTTAAAAAACAAAACAAAACAAAAATAATGAACAGCATATAACTGCTATGGTGTTGGACAATGCCAACCATTTTTAAATACTCCCAGGTCGATCACCTTATATTAATTTCACACCTCTACGTAATTACTCTACCTTCTAGACAATACTGTTATGTATGTTACCGGTAAAATGATAATCCCTGAACAATATAAACCAGAATCGTAATCTTAACCTTATTTCCATCAAAATTCCTACAACACAATGACCTTCCTTGTAAGTTAGTTCGCTAAAAAAGCAATTTTCTCCACAGCAATTAATTATATATATATATATATATATATAATTTCTTTGCAAAGCAAAAGTGGGATTTAGCACTTCAAATCTACCAAGAGAGGCTCTCGATAATTTAGTTACTGAGGAAGATCTTGAGAACATTGAACAAGAAATGGAGGTTGCCATAAATGCAACGACATTCTCAGCCAATACATCTGCTGCCGTGGCGCAACGTCCAGACTAGTTGCGTAACAATAATAAGGCCATGGTGTATTTAAACAGCTATATGCCAGAAGTGAGTTTTCTTCTTCTTCTTCTTCGTTCTTAATTTTGAGTGTTGGAAGGGATCGAGCTTATCTGCCAGAGGGTTTGAACTTGAGACTTTTTCGAATTTATCAACCATGAGCTATTGCCGACTCGACCACGTCTCCATCACAATTAAGGATACGTGTCAACTGGTTATGCGCCATTGAGGCCATTGACTCCGATTTCAGCCTGCTTTTCTTTTTGGATTTGCTTCCATAGCCTTTGTCCAACTAAAAACAAACTACAAGGCAGCAGTTGTTTGATTTTTGAGTTGTCTCTCCTAGAAGAGTGGCTGTCCCCAGCTAACGAGCCTCATCTGTCCGAGGGTTCGTACTCGAGACTTTTCGGTTTAGCAACCATGAGCTTTACCGACTCGACCACGCCGACTTCAAGTGAGTTTTCAATTCTTCACGAAAAATCGCTCTCATTGTCGCCCGTTGACACTGAGGAAAATCAGTACGTACCATCGCATCTTCACAATCACTGACCGGCGGCCAAGGCTACATTTACTGCAATTGCACAAACTAGTGCACAACAAATCGCTACAAGCGTAAAAATAACAATGTAATTCTAAATAATAATCAACTAAAATTTAATTTGTATGATCCTTACGGTATAAAAACAGCCAAAATCTGCTCGTGATCTTCTAATTCGGACTTCGACCGGTCGTCCCTAGCCAGATGATCTTCTAGGACTGGCCGGTCCACCGGACTGGCCGGCCAAAGGCCGAAATCAAGAGTCATTCAGACTTTGGCCGGTCCACCAAGGCCAGTCCGTGGATTGGCTGGCCAAAGACCGAAATAAAGTAAAGTTTCGGACTTTGGCCGATCAATGAATGGCTATATTGGCCAATGCGCGCTTTGGCCGACTTCGGGCTTTGACCATTATATATATATATATATATATATATATATATATATATATATATATATATATATATATATATATATATATATATATACACACAAACAAAAATATGAACATAGGATACTCATTTCTGGCCTGATCGGGTTTTTTGAGAAATCGGAAATAGCAAAAAGTGCTACTTTCGGTCAACGGAAATTGCTAAAAATTTGACATAAGGCAGGGAATTCGTTCTTTTACTTACATGTGAAATTTCATTTATCTCTCTGAAATAGTACTCAAGTTAGTTGCTTTTGAAAATATCAAAGTAGAAAAATTTCCACTTCCGGTTATCGGAAATCGTTCAAAAAACGTTTCCTTTTTATATTATGTCATTATATTATGTTTGAGAAAAATAATAATCAAGAGAAGTAATTGCTTTTTAATTTGTTTACTACAAATCTATTGCGGGGTCTGGTGGCACTGTAGTTCCGCCCCTCGTGTGAAAGTTATTTTTTTTTATCTTTTATCGATGGCAGTTAGCAACAACAAAGAATATAATTAAGTTAAATTGATCTCCTATAATTGTTTAATTGCTTTCCAAATTTTCTGTATTTCTGTTTGCTTTAGCAACGTAACAATATTTAGGAGAGTCTTTAGCAACAACCATATCCAGAATATATGACTATGACACGCTAACTTTTAGATACACAAGGCTTTTATTTAAAAAGCTTTATTTTTATTGTATTTGATTATTTATTATAGAAGGTCATTTTTTTTTTTGTTTACTTGTCTTAGAAACTTAAATTCAAAGGCGCAATCACCCAACGGTCCATCAGAAAATGGAGTCACGTATTTTATTTATATGATCTAAAAGGCTTTTTATTAGAGAAATAGTGGTTACCTTAATTAAAGACGACAATTTTTTACGACACGCGATATTTGTTTATATTTAAATTAGCATTCGTTAGTTTAAAAAAATCATTACTAGTTACATCAAATGCAACCAGCTAGTTAATAGAACTATGTACCATAATCATGTGTGATAAAAGGTACACACTTGATTTTAAAGATCAGATACGTACGTTTATCGCAGAGAACCACAGCAGAATTGGGCGCATTGTTACTCGTGTCCAGTTTAACTCCATTAACAAACTTCAGTTCACAAGACCCTTTGTAATAAATGTATCCAAAACAACCAGGGAGTGTTTGTGATTGCTGAGAACACTCCTGTTGTTTAAATAGTAATATATGTAATAATTACAATTTTTTACACAATACAAGACAATGTAAAAAATGTATCTTATTTTCTTTTAAAAAATTATTTATTTTATGTGATTTATACAGATGAACTGATGAACTAGCGTACCCGAGCGCTGCGATCTTAGGAGAAAGACTGACGCGTTATTTTAAGAGGATTTCACCAATGCGTTACCAATCGTATATTTTTAGGAAGCGTGACTGAGTGATTTTAATGTAAACGATGTCGGCGTTACATTTCTTAGGTCACAGTTGTTAGATGCAGACAGACAGGCAGACAGACAGACGGACAGACAGACAGACAGACAGACAGACAGACAGACAGACAGACAGACAGACAGACAGACAGACAGACAGACAGACAGACAGACAGACAGACAGACAGACAGACAGACAGACAGACAGACAGACAGACAGACAGACAGACAGACAGACAGACAGACAGACAGACAGACAGACAGACAGACAGACAGACAGACAGACAGACAGACAGACAGACAGACAGACAGACAGACAGACAGACAGACAGACAGACAGACAGACAGACAGACAGACAGACAGACAGACAGACAGACAGACAGACAGGCAGGCAGGCAGGCAGGCAGGCAGGCAGGCAGAGAGACAGACAGAGACAAGCATCTGTTAGCTGAAGTGGGAATTCTTTTTAGACGTGGGGCGAGTGGGTGGATGGGTCCAGGTTTTTGTGACTATGTGTGACAGTGGGGCATAGAAGGGAGGAAGTTAACAGCCGAGACGTCACTTATGCATAGTCCCTAAACCTATAGTTATCCAAGGGACAATGGATGATCTAGTATGATATAAAATTATAAAATTATTGAGCTTTTTGAGAAACTTAAATCAATAAAATTGCCATTTCAAGTCTTCAGAAGAGACCCAAGATGAAAGAAACCTGGAATAATATCTCAAAATTGTATATAACATTCTTCCACCCAACTAAAACGGTATTCAGACAAAGTATCAAAACACAATGTCTCCCTGTATAAGAGGAAGTTTAAATAGAATAAAAGTCATAATTTACACCTACCTCATGAGTGACAAGTATAGGATTATCGTATTTGGTTACAGCATATGCTGCGCAATGTGCTGGAGAAAAAAATACAATATATATATATATATATATATATATATATATATATATATATATATATATATATATATATATATATATATATTTCCATAACAAAACTTCAAGCCCGTATATCTACAGAAAATACTTCCCCAGAAATAATAAACCGGGAGTGATCTCCACTAAACTTTCTCGAATATTCTTATATAAAATAACAGGGTTGGAAACTCGGGCTATAGACATGATTTTTAATCCATTTTAAATACTTAAAGTTTTAAAAATAGAATAAAATCTCGTAGACAAATTAATTGCACACCAAGTGAACGCCAAATAAAAATGTGCATAATAGTGCGCAATATTATTAGTATTTTAAAAATTTACATTAGTTTTTGAGAAATCGGAAGTAGCGTAAATTACTACTTCCGTTCAACGGAAATTACTCAAAATTTAACAGAAGGTAGAGAATTAGATCTTTTACTTACATGTGAAATTTCATTTATCTATCTGAAATAGTACTCAAGTTACAGGCTTTTGAAAAATTCAAGTAGAAAAAGTACCACTTCTGTTTATCGGAAATCGCTCAAAAGTTGATACGGATCTCCGATTTTGATAAAATACTTATATATGAAATTTCATCAACCTAGCTGTAACGGTACTCAAGTTATCGTGTTTACACACGGACACACAGACAGACAGACAGACAGACACACAGACATACGGACAAGATTGCAAAATTATCTATATATTTTTTTTTATGTATCAGTGAGGTGTAAAACGTCGAGATTTGTAAAAATCTTTTTTTTTTTTTTTTTTTTTTGCACGATTCCAAGACTTTCTCTATTGGGCTTGTAAGTTTATCGTTCTCTCTCACGTTAATTCATGTCTGGTTAGCCAGGGAGAGATAAAATTGTTCGAATTAAATCAATTGTTGTGAACGGAATTCCCATTGATAACAAAAAAAACATGGCGGCTATTTGTTAGTAGGTCCCGCTTCAAGATTTAAAAATCACCAAACGTTCCAGAAATGCAACAATTGTAAAAACTTTCAACGCTGTTTTGCTCATTTGGATGGGAACAAACAAATGTGTATGCATTTCTGAATATAAAAGTTTTGTGGCGGTAAGTATATTGATATTATTTCTTTTGTTGATAGTTTGTCCAAGGCTAGGGGACATTACTCTGACTCTACTCAGTCTTTGCTACGAGACTCTAGATCTAGATTCTAGATCTAGAACTCTAGATCTAGAATCTATTCTACTAGATTACTAAGATCTAGATTCTACATTGCTTCAATCTAGGTCCAGTTCTAGGTACTTGGCAAGCAATTTTCTCGCACTTGACTGTGGCTATAGTTGCTAATCTTGAGCTAAAGGTGAGCTGAATTTTTTTTATAATAAGCCATTTTGCAGCTGTAAGTTTGAAACCGATGCAGTGTTCTAATTCTTAAAGAATATGTTGCTAGATTCTAGATCTACACTTACTGCATAATTTACATTACTAGGTTCTAAATCTAAATTACTACAGTTCACTACACTCTATATTTAGATCTAGTTCTTAAGTTCTACAACAAGACTAAACTCAACTTCACTAGATCTAGAATAATCAAGGTTCTATATAAATTGATATTGAAAATATTCTAGTCTACTTGTCTTAAAGTAAGTAGCCTATTTAATAGGCCTAATGTAGTAATTAATTCCTAATTCTTAAGTCTACACTCAACTACACTGTAAAATAAAAGAAACTAGACTAGATCTAGAATCTAGATCTCTACTAGAGTCTATAAATTTAAAAAAAATCCTGAATGTCGTATGTTACTGTCTAAGTCGGAATTTTCAAGAGGACTTTTTTTTTAGTCATAGATCTAGATCTAGTCTATATCTAGAATTCTAGATATATAAATCTAGACTCTAGATCTTGGCTATATTTACTATATTTATTATTTAATAATTAAATTTAGGCTTGATTTACGATTGAAATCTTTTATAAATCTCATATTTTATATAAAAAAAATTATTATTATACAGGGTCTAGTCCTACGTAAAAAAACATGTGTTTTCTAGATCTATCAATATAAAATATAATATATTTGTGTGTGTGTTATTTTAAAATTAATTTACTTAAAACAACTCATCGTCGGAGTTTGTTTTGATTCTAAAAGCGAAAGTAGATTTCATTACTTTAAAAAAAATATTCACATTTGGTTTGAAAAAACAAAAAAACGCTAGCTGGCAACTACCGGAGCGAGAACTTGGTAAGCTACTTTAACAACTTACAAGCCCAATACTTCGTATATACGAGAAAGTAAAAAAAAAACAATTATAAACAAATTAAAAAATACTTCGAATATATCAACAAAATTAATTTTATTATTTGTAATGAATTATCTCCAATACTTCGAAATAGAATGCCCGTCTTCTGTGTACGAAGACTTTTTTTCAGATGTAAGTAGGGTGTGGACGTAGGTAGAGTGTTTGAGTGTTTTTATTTAAAAAATCGTCTTTCCAACGTAAATTGTAAATGATAAACACAGAAAAGTTAGTTCCTAGTCGCAGTTATGTTGACATAATACACAAAATCATTTACTAATTCAATTTAACAATTCCCCAGCAACTATCATTATTTTAAATATAACATTTATGGTGAAGATATTAAAACCCTTATCCAGGCAGTAGGCCTACCCTGATTCTGTCTTGGAATCATTAGAGTAATTACTGATAGCCATGGCATTAATTACTTACAGGGATCATTAACACACATATTTACGCTCGAAACCTGCTGGTCTGAGGAAGTGTCGATCGGCGAAGTGGCCAAGGCAATTTGACATGCAGTACCCCAGTAGTAATAATAAGGGCAGTTAGGATTCGTCAAACACGCTAAATAACATTCCTGGGCATGGAAGTAAAATAAAACAAACTGCAGATCATAAGTGTAAAAGTGTTAGTATGTCATTTTGAATAATTAATATTCTGTACACTGTTTGTGCGTGTATTTTAATATTCAAACTTCTGGCCTACCCATATAAATAACGGTATTACATATATATATATATATATATATATATATATATATATATATATATATATATATATATATATATATATATATATATATATGTATATATATATATATATATATGTATATATATATATATATATATATATATATATATATATATATATATATATATATATAATATATATAAATATAAAATATAGGTTAAATCGATATATTTTTCTTTTAATAAACCAAGCTTCTGCTTTTATTCTTTTATCATGCAAAGTCCACAAAGCAAATTATGGATGCAAAGCGATTATGGTACTGCTTGATTTGAAATTTTCGATTTGTTATTAATTTTCTATGTATGGTTGCAACACAGTTTTAAATAGACTCATCAGTTTCGAATATATTCTATGTAGTTCATGGACATTTTTAAAAATAACTTTTACTTGTTTCCTAACATAATCTGGTTTAATTTTGTAATTTAAAAAAAAAAACCACGTCCAAAATTAAACTAAAATTAGCAGCACATCGTCGATTAGAATTGTATAGAAAGAAACTGTGATCTAGTGACCATAATGAGCAAGAGAAGAGTGGGATAAAATAAAGAATAGCATCGTCATCATCAGTTCAATTTTCTTATGATATCCATACATAACCAGTGTCAACAGTGCTTTGATAGAAATTTCTCTCTAAACTATATTAACAGACATATTTGGCACCACAGTCTAATAGACCTTTAAATGATTGCGCATTGGGAATCGAAGCACAAAGCCCGGACGGTAGGGTGAGAAGAGTAAGAATTTGGAAATGTATCAGACCCCCATTCCCTTCAGTGTTGCAAGGGGGGGGGGGGTGCTGAAAGTAAAACCAGAGTTGGTAATCCTAACGGGCTACTGACCTGTTCTTATTTTCGGAGTTGTCTCTCCTTGATAAGTTGCTGTCCCTAGCTGACAAGCCTTGTCTGCTTTGGGTTCGAACTCGGGACTTTCGGATTAGCAACATTAACTGATAAAAATGAGGAAAATGATGTGGCTCAACTTACATGATGAGTGGAAGCAGCAACAGTCTTTGTCGTAGAGTCCATATTATTGTAATACTTGCATTGATCTAAAAGTCAAACAAAATACTTTTTTAAATTACATTTTTAACACAAAATTGAATCTTTAACCGGATCATTCATTTGAACTGGATCCGCAAATTTTCGGGAAATTCAAATTTAGCCAAAAATGAACTTTAACTCTGGACTAAATTTAATAATAATTAAAAAAAACTAAACTTAATCTTGAGACGGAAATTTAACTGGAAACAGAAAAGTAACAGATAGAGGAATTTAAAGGGAGCTGAAAAGTTAATAGTAACAAAATTCAAGCGGAAATAAATCCGAAACCAGAATTTTATCTGGCTAAGAAATTTTAACCGGAAACGGACATTAAACCGGGAATTAACTAAAACTGTAACTTAATCGGATTTTAAAATCTAAAGGGCTTCAACTACACCAATACACCAAATTCTGTTTTCAGCGGCTATATGTATTTGCGCCCAATACAGCCCG